TCAGACTCAATGGTGAAGACACAGATGCTGATAGAGATAAAGATCCAAGAGAGGAGTATGGGAGGCAAGCAATAAAAGTGTCAAGATGTAAACAGCCAAATTATAGTGAATTGGTTTACAGTCTGCTTTCAGAAAATCAGAAGAGATGTTGGAGTAATCTATCCATTATCCATGTGAATAACATTTAAAAAGTAAGATAACCACCATCCAAAACCAGTAAAAAGATCAAAATTGCCGCTAGATTCTTCTATTCTTTAATTTAAATTAGTTTGAATTTTTAGGCAGTCCGTTTTTCTCTAAACAATAAAATGTTCTTACCAGCTGAAAACACTTTCTCTTTCTTTAGGGCTGTTTGCAGTTTCAATAGCCTTGTGGCTAATCCGGAAGTCACTGGCAAAGAGGGTTTTCCTGGGTCTCCAGAGACTGCGAATGTCTCTGGGACCACTGGGTCTCCCCCTACCTTTCATTGTCTCTTCGGGACAGCTTGGGTCCAAAAAAGAACCGTCCAGATGCTCCGGTATAGATGGACATTCAGGAGCAGCCTGAAAGTCCGTCTTCACACTGCTAAGCCCCGCCTTCTCCTAAAACAGAAGTTTTGAGTGGTTACCACGGTGGCAGCCAGAAAGAGAATTTTGGGCAATTCAGTGAAAGCAGACACTTTAAGCATGCACCTCCACCAAAAAAGTTAGCTTGAGAATGTTCTAGAAAATTGCTTTATACAATTGCAGCATGCATGTGTAATACACCGAGAACAAAAAGAATAATGTATAGACTTTTCTAATTAAAGATTTTTTAATTCTATTGCAAAAAGATTGCTGATGGCATGGCATACATTGAAAGAATGAATTACATTCATAGAGATCTTCGAGCAGCTAATATACTGGTAGGGGATAATCTGGTGTGCAAAATTGCTGACTTTGGATTAGCAAGATTAATAGAAGACAATGAATACACTGCTAGACAAGGTATTTACATATTCTTTACGTACTATCCAGTATATTAAATATTGTTTTATTAATATGTATTATCTGAATTCTCGATTTGTACAATTCAGTTTATGTCTGAAATATTATAGGGTCTCCTGCTTTAGCAGGGGGCTAGACTAGAAGATCTTAAGGTACTTCCAACCCTGTGATTTTATGCTTGATGTTCTAGTTTGACTAAGTGCTTTACTAATTTTAAAGCACTTTCTGAGTTAGCTGAATGTTCTTTATTTTTTCCATTTACTATAGTCACTAGCAATAGAAACTGGATATTCTCTAAAGTGGATTATTCAATACACTGCTATGTTTTCTAAAAGAGTTTTCTGAATTTGTTAACTGATTTATTAACAATATAAATTGCCAAAATAAAGCCTTATCTCTTCAAAAGTAAAATTGTTGTTGAACAAGGCTTCATTTTATTATCAAACTTTGCAACATACCATGATTCATATTCAGGGTTATTGGCCAAGCAGTTTATAAGTTAAGTTTACTTTATTGTCATTGTACCTTATACAACAAAATTAAATTCCATTTTCAGTGTATATTATAACAATAAAAATAAAACACAAACACACATCCTTCACATTCTATACAATTGAATTGAAAACCCAATATTGCATTACTATTGCACTATAAAGGAGAAACAGTATAAAGAAACAGTACAATCTGAACGTCAGATTCTAGGCAGGTGCTGAAATTTACAGTTGTTTATGTACATTCTGCAAGTGATTTATATAATAGAAAGAACAATTATGTGCTAGTTTTCCACATACACAGATTAACAATGGCAACTTTTTTTTACAGTAGTACCTGCATACTAAAATGCATATATTTCCTCCATTATCTGGGTAGAACCACCTCAGCCTTGAGAGGAGTACGATTAAATATATGTTTAATTTGACAGTATTACTCACTTTGTTGTCACCCACGCTCTACTCCCACATGTATTCTTAATTAGACTTTTCTCTTTCAGTATAACAAAGATACTTTTGCAGTTGTTTTCCAGCAGAAAGAGTTCCAATTTCCAGATTAATTCTTACGTTTAATAGAATGGATGCTATTATAACAATATAAGAGTTATTAAATTATTCTTTCCTATATGAAAGATATAGATAGATAGATAGATAGATAGATAGATAGATAGATAGATAGATAGATAGATAGATAGATAGATGATATAAAGCATTACCAAAATAATTGTAAAAAATGTTATAAATTATAATATTAAAATGCATTATTTTCAATGTTTATGTATTATCTAGGGGCCAAATTCCCAATTAAATGGACAGCACCTGAGGCTGCACTATATGGTCGGTTTACAATTAAATCTGATGTCTGGTCGTTTGGAATTTTGCTGACAGAGCTTGTAACAAAGGGGCGTGTGCCATACCCAGGTAAAAGGAGGGGGAAATAATTTCTAATGTATTAGTTATATCCTTTCAAAATCTGTTACTTATGCTCAGGGTTATTGACAATCAGTTGTTCTGATGAACTAAATTGTTTTACCTCATACAATACTTAAGAAAACATTACAGTAAATGCAAACTAGTCATGTTACAGAAGCTGCAATTCAATGTTTTAAAAATATAGAGAGACACTATTTTAAAACATCAAATTCACTGTGTTTATAAATAACAGCCATTATGTCAGATCATTTTTACCATAGGTTTTTAAAGAAGTCAAAGCTAACCTTTGATGAGCAAAATAATTGTGGTGTTTATACAAGTATTTTCTTCCTTGTTTCTTTTATTTTCTTTATTTACTTTTTTTCTTTTCTTTCTACTGTTCTCTTGCATCTCTTTGGAGTGTCTCAGATGAGGCACAAAAATACACCGGGAATACAGTGGGAAAAAACAATTGGACATACTACATTAAGCCATTATTGTGTTCAGTAATCCAAATATAAATTCTAGTTTCAAATCATAGTTCGACTTTCCCCAAACAAGCTATAATTTGCAATAGTTCAGCAAACCACAATTTAAAAATTCTTTAATGTTATGCATGAATACAACCTATAAATACCCATTCCAAGTAAAGAGTGACAGATTTTTGAAACCTTCTTTCAACTTGATAAAATATAAACATTAAAGCTATTCTTTTAATTTTAGGAATGGTCAATCGGGAAGTTTTAGAGCAAGTGGAACGTGGATATAGAATGCCTTGTCCTCAGGGATGCCCAGAATCTCTCCATGAATTAATGAAACTTTGTTGGAAGAAAGATCCCGATGAAAGGCCAACGTTTGAATACATTCAGTCTTTCTTAGAAGATTATTTTACTGCTACGGAACCACAGTACCAGCCTGGAGACAATTTATAAATTGATGGCTTACATCCCATGCACAAACATGCCAAATGTAGAGTACTTTTTTTAAAAAAAAATTCCTTGCTAATTGAAAGAGCTCAAAAGAAGGCAAATTGCAATTTGCATGCTCTTGTTAGCTGGCAAACTGGAATTCTGAAATACGGTTGCACAAAACCACTTTTTAAAGTGTTATAATACCTAAATGTATCAATGATATATTTTTCTCCCATATTATATCAGGGTCCAAAAGAAATACACTGAAAAAAATGGGTGGTAAAATTAACATTGCTATAACAAGTGGAGCTGCTGATTTCTTTTTCTCTTTTTCCTAACATTTAGGTCATTATTAAAGGCAACATCAGCTATTTAAATAAACTTATGAATGGAAATGGTCAAATAATAACAATAACAAAATAGTTTATGGGACCAACAATACTATTATGTTAGAGTTAAGAGGGCTTTAATATAAAGTTTTCTTCTAGGGGCTCATTTCCTAGGGTAGCTCTCAGCAGATGCCAGCACCTGACCAACCTTCTCTGAGCTTAGAAATTAGACTTGATTAGTTTCAGGAATACTGTGGCTGTAGACTAGATAGGAAAATAGAAAAAAATATGGATGAAGAAAATGGTAAATTAACCCTGTATTGTTGCCAAGAATACTATATGGATACGTATGTGAAGACACCAAGAGTTTACTTCAACTCAAAAAACAATTTACTTTTAAAGCAAGTAATTTATGATAAACTTGATTAAATACTAGACCTCAATAATGGAACTGAAAAGCATGTTGCACTGTGCTGAAACTTTATATTACTATACCATAACTGGAAAGTAGCATATTTTATTTCCTACATAGTTCAATTAAGAATGAAATTAACTTCCGAAACCATTAATTCATTTTGTAATTAAGTTACTAGAGTACAATGTTAAACCTGAAACTGCAAAATGCAATCAGAGGGATAAGGTTAAGGTAACATCTTAACCTTCAAGATGTAGTGTTTCAAAGTTCCAATTCTAGTGAAACATGTTTAATTTTAATTTTTTTTAGAAGGCACATCTGAAAAAAGAAATAAAGTGGCAAATGCTTATGAAGGTTATCCAATTAAAATGTTCAGGGATTCACTAGATTGCACAGCTTCTCTTTGTTACGTATCTCTGTCAAAACATTTATGAAAAATACTGTTTAAGATCTGAAAGCGGTGGATCAGATCGAGATCTGAATGAAATGAACTTCTATGTTGGCAGACATAGCTCCCTCATGCTATTCTGGAACATCCTCCAACCCCCACAATATATTTTGATGGAGGTAAAAGATGGAGGGATTAGTGTGAATTGTTTCCCCATTTTTGCAGTTCACAGAGTTGTCAGAATCTGGATTTAGCCAACATAGTAAGTGTTGGGATAATGATAGCTGGACAGTAGCCCATCTTTCTAACAATAAACAGTAATTTACAGTCAACTAGACAATAAATGGTTGCATATTGGTTCATAAAACTCTTCACAAAAGCATCAGTTCAAAAAGCTGTTATTAGAGTGGACTGAATCCATCTCCTTGCATTTCGTGGGAGAAGTTGGACTTTTCATAGACATTATGTATAGCTTTAAACTATAGGAACAGACCTTGCACCTAAGCCAAATTCAGCTAATGATATTAAAACTGCACACATACGTCACTCCTCACGATAGGAGCTATCATAACCTCTATCATATCAAGCAATAAAATCCTCTTGGCATTTTAGAATTTTCCACTCAAAACAAATGTTGCACTTCAAAGCTTTTCTGTGAAAATGATCATTATTGCTATCAGAAAAACCCCACCGACTTTGTTCTGGTGAAACTTAACGTATTTTTTAGAGTATAATACGCACCTTTTTCTCTCAAAAAAGAGGCTGAAAATCTGGGTGTGTCTTATACACTGAATACAGCATTTGCCTCCCGAAACCCTGCCCCCTTCACCAAAATGGCTGTGCCTAGCCTCTATGAAGCCTTTAAAGAGCTCCTGGAGGCTGGTGGGGGAAGAAATGAGCAAAAAAAGGCCCATTTTTTGCTCAACTTTACCCCCCCCCCCCCAGTCCCCAGGAGCACTCTATAAGCTTCCTAAAGGCTATCCATGCCCCCTCCTTTTTTTTTTTTTTTTACAAAAAACGAGCCTGTTTTGGGGGGAAATGGGCCATTTTATGCTCGTTTTTGGCCCCCACCACCCATCCAGGAGCACTCTGCAAGCCCCCTAAAGGCTATTCATGCCTTTTTTTTTCTTTTTTTTTTGAAAAAAAAAAGGTCTGTTTTCACAAAAAAATGGGCTGTTTTTGGGAGGCTGGCAGAGTGCAAAAACTTCTTTTTTTTGCCTCTTTAAAACCTTGGTGCATCTTATCCTCTGAAAAATATTGTATATAAACTTATAAAATTGTGCAATCAAGTGGCATTTTCTTTTCCCATTTATACATCCCATAACTTTGAAATTTTAAAAGGGCTCTGTGTAGCAAATAATACAGGATTGTAATTTCTTTTATATTCTGAAATAGGTAGTGCAGTTGTGTTTATATAATAATGCATATGCCAGAAACCTAGTCTGGTGTTATTTGGATTTTAATTAAAATTGCAACAAATCATTGTAACAAATCTATAGTAAGGAAATTAAAAAACAGTAATTTAAGAAGTTTATTGAAAAAAATATGTATTTTTAAGCGTTATACTTTCCATGTTTGTTTTTCCTTGTTTTATAGTGTATTACCTCAAGATTTTAATGTGAGCAAATAATTCAACACAACACTTTTCTATACATAGTAATACATGTAAAAGTGTGATTATTTTTATAAAACTTGATGTTGAATTTGTTTCACAAGATTGCTTTTAAAGTTCTAATTACAAAATTATTTTTTAAGAAAATAACCTGATAAATTCCAAGTTGCTTTGATATGAAACAATCCTATATATACTTATCTGGGATTAAGTTTAATTAACTAAATGTAATTGACTCAGCGAGACTTACAAGTTGACATGCATAGCACTGCTCCATTTCTTTTTATATTTCTTGATCTTTAGAGAATAATCTGAAGTATATTGTTTTATTTTGCATTTGTTAATAGATTTCAACAGTATACATAATACATCATCTTGCAGGTGCCATGATTCACCTATTGCCCTAGAAATATTAGAAATTGTTTTAGTCCTTTCTCTGTATAGGTTTGCATATCAAAATAAGCCAAAGCAAGCATGCTTTATTATTGCATGGATACTGCAATACTATCAGTATAAGCTAAGCAAATCAAGAAATGTCCAATATTGATTTATTTAATCTTGCTAAGTGAATAACAAGCTCAGGATCACAAATCAAGAATTTGAAATCAGAAATTATTCCTGATTTGCATTTTTGCCTAATGAAAATATAAAGCAGTCAAAGATCCTGGCCTAGAAGCAATTAAATAAAGCATGATTAAGTTCTCTTGATTTGTTTAACTGGTATCTAATAGCAGAAGGAGTAAGCCAGAGAGTGTGCTTTCTTTCCCACAAAGTCTCTTTCCCCTGTATGAAACTGGAATGCTATTTCTTTAAAATGCACTGTCATCTTCCATTAAATATTGGAAAACACTAATCATTACATGTGCATAAGGCACTTTGTTATATTTGCTAATATTGTAAATGTGTGCATAAGGCACTTTGTTACTTTACAAACACAATTGATATGCATACATCTCATGGTCTTTGGGATTAAGTGTCTCTGTTTAGAAATGTTGGTGGATACTGTATGATGGGCTCTCACAAAAAAAACCTTAAGAAGATGAAGTATGTTTCCTCAATCTTGAAGACAAGTGAAGGGTAGACAAGGAGCTGCCTGTGACAATGTAATTCCAAGTACAGATCTTGGAATTTCCTCTTCCTCAGCTATGTGATCTGTTGGTTAACTGTTGGGAAAGTACTGTAGCCCCCTTTTGTCTGGGTGGTAATTTTCCTACTAAATTAATTGTCCTTTATTGGACAGAGCAATAAGCACAATTTCTGCACATTTTCAGTTTGAAATAAAGGGAGCCACAATTTTCTGATATGGCTCCTAGTTTTGTTGGAAATTTCAATGGGAAAGTCCAATATAACCTCACATTATTTTTTGTGAATTTTATTCCATGCCTTCTCACATTCTTATTCCTCTGTCAATACTGTACAGCATGACCCAGCATCTCCAGGAACATTGTATTTTTTTTAAAGTAGAATTACTAGAACAATTTTCAGAATATAAATGCAAATTTATTACATTTCCAATTCCTATGTTTATTGGATTTTCAGCACTTCCTGTACTGTAATCATTGTTAATCAGTTCAGAATGATTTTTATATTGTATTGAAAACTATTGTGTAACATTTCTGATAGAAACTGTAGTGCAAGCCTTGTGTATCAGTTTTGTTGCAGCTACATTGTGTGGTAACCTTTTGTTTGGTTTTCCTATCATACTATATTGACAAGCTTAAATATTTTTAATATTTTATTACTTTTGCATAATTAAACTTCCCAAAGCTTAATAAATTAGTGCACCTTCTGTTACTAAAGCAGAAAAAATGATTAATATTGTATGGGAATTGGGACAGAATAGCTTTTTTTCAGCAACTCTTATAAGTGCATCCCCAACACTATGCTTGTAGCATGATACATGTTAACATTGTAACATCCCTCTAAATTTGTTATGGAGCCCAAAATAGTATTTATCAGCTGTAAAATAGAAACTGGTACTCAGGACACTTGTCCTTCCAAAAGTTTCAACAATTTAAAATTCTAAAATTCTAAAATATATTTACAATAGTAAATTTATTACATTTTCAATTCCTATGTTTATTGGATTTTCAGCACTTCCAGTACTGTAATCATTGTTAATACAATAGTAAATTATATTTTAGTACACATGCTTATGCCAACATATATACTATTATTGTGCAATAAAATTAAGCCTAAATGCAATTATGTCAAATTGTATAGTTAATTAATATATATAATTATATAATATATAATTAATATATAACTTATGAATTGAACCAGTTCAACAGTAACATTTTTAATTGACATATGTCACTGTTATTGCATACTGCTGTTATGCAATAAAATTAAGCCAAAATTAACTTGGAGTTAACATCCTGTGATGATTTTAGAAGAGAGGAGGTGGGGAAAGGTTTGACGTTCAGGTGGTCTGGTTTAAAGTCAACTACATCTAGGATCTGTATTTTTAACGACGTTATCTAAAACTAGAAAAATATAAGGATTGGATGTAGCTAGGCCTTGGAGGTCACGCCATCCGAAAATCACAAAATTGAAAAAAAAAGGATTATTTTTTTTAAAAAACCAAGCCACTTTTGAATTATTGCCAGGCGCCCCCCCTCTCCCAAAACACTGCACGTATTCATGTGGTTACTGGAAGTCGTAAGCGGCAGCTCCTTTTGACCTGACGACCGATTGCAGAGGTTACAACCAAAAGCTCAACCTCTGTTTGACCTGGGGGGGGGACGGACCTGACGCATTGCAAAGAAGCCGGGCGCCTCCTGTTCCCTCCCCTCGGCTCGCCACGCCCTTCCTGCAGGCCAATCGGCGTCTAAGGAGCCATTCCCAAGCGCAAAAGTCGCTGTCCCGCTTCCTCGACTGCCGAACGCTGCCTGCGGGATGGGGAGAGGGAGGATCCGGGCTCTGGCTGTGAGCGACGTCCGCTTTCCCACGTCTCTGGCCCAACACGGGTCAGATGCCATGGTAAGCGCAGCGGTGCCGGGCAGAGCGACGGTCCGGAGGTCGGAGGGGCAAGCACCCCCGGTCTCGGGTGCGCAAAGGTGCCGAACAGTTCTTCGACCCAATTCTACGGCAACTTGCAGAGAGAGCCTTGTTCTTCCGCGCTGTTCCTTTCTCGTCTTGGGGGGCTCTTTATCCAAGTTAAACGGAGCTCCGGCTGCCTTTCCCCCCGGATTGCGGCCTGCTTGCCTGGAAGTTAACTTCAGGCAAGTTCCGTTTGCTGGACTTTTAACACCATTTGGATTATAGACGCCGCGCCGGTTTTCAGTCGCGTGGCGTGTAAATCCGGACCTGTGCGCGTTTGCGTTGCTTTTCCCAATGTCGAGGCTTTTGTTGATTCTTCTGTTTAGCATCCAGATCCAGACTATTCCGCAGCCTACGTGGTCATAGAAACGGATGCTCCCAATGGCTTGAAAGGTTGTGGCTTTACCTTTACCCTGGGAAAAGGCACCGAAGTGGGTAAGTTCTTATGCTAACCCAGGGTTGGCTTCCCTGCATATCATGAAAAGTTTTCGTCTTGCTTCCTTTTTGGAAAAGATCCTCTTCAGGACAAACTTTTCTGGTGTGTTCCATTTCCATTTCAAAGGCCAGTGTAAATACAACACATTATGTCATGATTTATTTCAGAAACCCAAATTCACAATATGATGACCTCATTTCACTTTATCAGTCAATATCATAAATCATGTACTGACCTGTTGCTGTTGTTAGTTGCAAAGTCATGTCACAACCCCATGGACAATGTTCCTCCAGGCCTTCATGTCTTCTACCATCCCTCAGAGCCCTTTTAAGCTCATACTGCTTCAGTGATTCCATCTAGGCACCTCATTCTCTGTCGCCCCCTTCTTTTGCCTTCAATCACTCCCAGCATTAGGCTCTTTTCAGGTGAGTCCTTCCTTTTCATTAGGTGGCCAAAGTATTTGAGTTTCATCTTCAGAATCTGACCTTCTAAAGAGCAGTCAGGGTTGATCCATCTAGGACTGACCAGTTTGATTGCCTTGTACTGACCTGTAAGCAAGCAATATTTATAGATTTTTTTAAAAAATGTAATAGTTGAGTTTACCTTGCTGTGCTTGTTGCTTACCTTCTCTCCATTACAAAACACCTACAATACTGTTATTGCAGTCCTTAAAACAAGCTGCCTGGTTTTTTTATCCCACATTTGAAGTTTATTGGAGTTGAATTGTGTGTGCCTAGAAAAACACTCCTAGACCTCACAATGTCAGTGTTAAAATTTCAATTTTTATAGAAAGAGAGGCAGATTCTGGGGCCAAACTTTGGTGTTACTTTAATATATACCCAATAACAAGAGTTTCTTAGATAACAATTCTGTTATTTATTTATTTTTATATTTTAGTTCCTTTTCCATTGTTCACCATATTCTAAATAAATAGATAATGCTGCATTTGTAGTAATCTCCAGATGGTGATTATTTCTTTCAGTTATCAGTGCAGTCCATGCACTGTCAATCCATATAATTAATAAAGATTTGGATGACATAATCAGTGATTTTCGAGGCTTCTACAGGCAGCTCACCAGTGATGGGCAGCTCCGATGGGTAAGATAACTTTCAATATTTTCAACAAGGCTAATATATGCATGCAAGTGTTCTTTAAGAACATAAGAATAGAACATAATTTGATTTTATATAGTTGCTTTATACAAAATACTACATAAAATAGGGCTTTCAATGAAAATAGTGCATGAGTATGACCTAAAATAGAGAATTACTTGAATTACTTGAATTCTTATATTTTTGTCATCTAACCTCTTACTCATTTACATTTTTAAGTCATAGAATTTTGTGACTTTTCATATTTCCAACTTTGGCAGCCTTGAGTTCCCTTCCTATTTTCTCCATTTTCTTCCTATTTTCAGCTTCTGACAATATCTGAAAAAGTTAACATCAAGGTCAAAATTGAAAGAAAATCCCATTGATCTGATGAATATCAGAAAGAGATTGGCCTGCATATTGTAATGAAGCCCTAAATTTGATCAGTAATCCCTTATTCCTGAGACATTCTTACCCCTAAAATCCCAATATGGCACCATTTCCACCTATATAAACCTAGAAGGCCTTGATAACATGATAGGTGTTTGAGGAGAAGAGGAATTACTAAAACAGATGTTTATAAAGATTCTCATTCCCCATCACCCCATTTTGCATATGTGATAATGCCAACAAATCCTATAGGAATAAAATTCCCATTGTGTGAAAATATAGCATCCTATTGAAACATTGATTGGGTAACACATAAAAAGCACTGATCACCTTGAATACCTGAGGAAGGGCTAAACATTTTGTAAATTTGCCTTGGATTAGGGGACTGAATTAGGAGTCCCTCTGAGTAATCCCCATTTGGCAAACATAGTATTAAACACTGATATTTTGGCCAAACAAGAAAGAGGGTGGGGAGGAAAGGCTTAATTTGAGCATTTTTCCATCAGTAGCAGGACTCCCTCAATGGAATCATTGAAGTTGGACCATCAACTCTGAACTGTCCTCTCCTTGCAAACTTTTGTTTAAGAGAATCATCTTTGAGGCATCTGAAGTTGAGTGTCCTTAACAGACCTGGCTTCAGATCAGTAGCATGATCTTGATATTGGCATAGGCCTCACAAGATATTGTGTTGTAGTTACTGTTCTGAGGTGGCTGTGATACTTTTTAGGCCCTGAGCTTTGCATCTCCAGGATTCTGCCTTAGTCATTCTTGCATCTATAGACTAGACCTGTTGAATTAGGTTTCAGAACCTGGGAAGACTCAACAGCCATGTCGCATGTCAGTGAAGTTCAAACAAAGGATATACCAATGCCCACTCTTTGAACTGGTCTGAATACACAGCTCCAGAAGAAACATCGCTTTGGGAAGACAAAGAATGTACTGAGATGACTCAGGCAATAGGCACTGATAATAGCTGTTGATGCAGATCTCCATTTTCCTTCCATTCCTTCTGTGAATTTCTGAAGAATTATAACCAGTTTTTGAGAACCAATAACATACAGCCTAAAGATGGTTATCCATCTCATTTTCTCCTTTTTTCTGGTTTTTTTCTTCCAACCCAATGTATTTATTACATATAAGCTGGTTTTGCAGTTACTCTTTCCGCCTTCCCATTCAATTTCTCACTCCCAAAATGAAGGTGCACATAGGAAGAAATTCCTTATCTAAAACTCATTCACTCTAAGACACAGTGATTTGTGTGACACATTTTGGGCTTCTTTACTTTTGCAAAAAACACCGTACACAGTGTCCATTGTCAGAAAACATCAGGCCTAAATCAGGCAGTCATCAAGAGTCAACATTGACTGAAAGGCACCAAAAAAAATTCGGCATAGTTATAGACTACCCACTATGAACAGTATTGTGTTTAATTTAGTTAAATCTAAGTGCTTCCTTATGAATAAACATTTGCAACATGTCTGCTAAACAAGGATGATAGACTTGCATAGCTGTATGGAATCAAATAGTTTTTAATTCTGTAACACAAGTCATTGTGTAGCTAATGTGTGCCTAGCAGTTTTAAAACCCAACATTTTCTTGAAAGTGCTCAGTTCAGTAATCCACAAATGATAGCAATGATAGAAACCTTACATACTTGTGATTGGCTGTCATAATAATTTAATAACATGCGTTTTGTTTTTGCTTTGCTAATAGATTGGTCCTGAGAAAGGAGCTGTGCATTTGGCCACAGCTGCCATTTTGAATGCTGTCTGGGATCTCTGGGCCAAACAAGAAGGAAAGGTAAAGATTTAGAACAAGTAAAAAGAAGTATCACTCTTTGTCCTTGAACAATTAATGCTCTCTTCTATCCTGTTCAGCAGGGCTATGTTTTCCATGGATAAACATAAACATACCCCACTACCTTTAAGTATTTTGTATGTTGGGGATTAAAATTGTTTAAATCATGCTTTTGTGCTTTTCTGTGGTTTTGACCAATATTTTCATAAATTGTAAAAATTATATATCATCCAATTATTACAAATAAGTCTGAGTCATTCAAGTCTTCTCTTCACAGTGCTATTTTTATGTTATCACTTTCTTCACAGTAGGTTACAATAATGTGATCCTTTTATTTGGAAATAAAACTATATAACACTTTAAGGTTTTGGAACTTTTATATATTGTTTTGCTTCTATCTTGGGTCTTCAAATCATAGTCAGAAGGCAAGAGTGCCTTTCAACATATGCTCAACTTGGAATAAAAATCCAACTCTTCCTCCTCTCCTCTTGTCATTTAATTTTGGTGTTTTGTATTTTAAGTTTTTTGAATAAAAATAGATTATTTTTAAAACTGTCTTTCACATCTAATAAAAATGTGATGGCTGGTTGAGTAGGTAGAACTGCTTTAATTGCCAGAACATTTTGACAATCTAGAAGTCTCCTCCAAATATCACTGCACCACATGATCATATTTTGTAGGATGCTTAATTGATTAGACCAGGGACCAAAAACAGAGAACTTTCTAGAGACTGTTATGCACATTACAAAGTCCTGGCATCTGTCTCTATTGATCATATTGGCTTGTGGTGGTGGAAATAATAGTTCAGCAACTCCTGGCAAGCCACAAGTTGCTTATATTTGGCAGGGTTTTATTATAGGTTAATACGATGAAATAAAAAACAAAATAGAATTCAAAGTAGCAACAATCAAACACATATGCTAAATGAGTGAATCACACCTTACTTATTCATCATCCCAAATTTATAAACATGTGTACCAAGTCTATAGAAGTAAAAAGTCCAGAAATTAAAAGGTTTCAGAGGATAGCTCTTTCTTTATCTGACAGAACCTGCTAAATATTTGCAGGCAAGGAAATATGTACAGGAACTTTAGAGGATAAACGTAAAGTAAATTTATGTGGAAGCAGCTTCTAGATACTCTGATTTCAAAGTATTTGTACTTTGTAGTTCAAAGCTGGCACCATGAATGATGTAGTAAATGCTTTATCAGGCACAGCTTACTATGCAAGCTCTAGCGATTGGATCAACAATGTATATACCTGGCTTGTGGATTGGCCTGCTTTATGTCTAATATGATTTTTTTGTATTCTAAAATACTTCTATGTTTAACAATTTCAGAATATTTCTTTCTCTCTTCCCTGCCCCCCCCCCCTTTTAAAGCCTCTCTGGAAACTCCTGGTTGACATGGTAAGAAAAAATAAAATAAAAGTTCAAGCCATTATTGAAAAATAATATATTTCTTTCAGAGCATTGGATGCTGACTTAGTGTGCTTAAATATATTGAGAATATAACTAAGTAAACTGTCAATATTATATATATATTTAAAATATGTTTACATTTACATTTGAAGGTAGATAATCTTGTACACTGGTTTTTTGGATTTCTGTTCAAAACTTTTTTTCTGCCTGAAACAATCACCGATGAATATCATTTTATATTTCTGGTGTATTTATTTATTTTCTGATCTTGGAATCTCAAGTGATTAATGTAATGCTTTTAAGATGCAATGCTTTTATGATGCCATTTTGAAAATAATTGTAACTAGATACCCTGTGACCTGTCATCATTTCAGAGATATTTATTTACCTAAACAACTTAATAGAATGATTTTGGGCAGGTTAAAAAAGCATGAGAGTAGGAGCAATTTATAACTTGCTGCCAGCTTCCCCATTGACTTTGCTTGTGGAGAGAAAGCCAATCGGCAAGCTGGCAGGAAAAATATAATTTGTTCAGGTAAGTCTCCCCCATCTGCATATCATCCCCTATTCCCTCTGTGCTCATATGATGTCAGATACGTGTGAACCAGTGGTGGGTTCCTACCAGTTCACACCGGTTCGGCCGAACCGGTAGTAGTTTGGTGGCCTGGGTCCCTGGAGCCAGCAGCAACCCAGGCCTGCCACGGTCCCGAACTGGTTCTCCGGGTGGCGCCATAGGCGGCACCATCTTGTTTTTGGCTTCTGAGCATGTACAGAACAATTTTTATTGCACTGTGCATGCATGTGCATTGTGCATCAAGTGCACGCGCGCAGCGTGCCCACGAGCGAATCGGCAGTAGTGACTGCTGGAACCCACCCCTGCTGTGAACCCACGCACACTGTCTGCAACCTGCACTCTCCCTGACCTGCAATGCATCTTTGAGCATTGCACTCTCTCTGACCTTCGTTGTACTACTCAGGCACCCTCCCTGTTCTGTGCCATGTCATTCGCACCCCCCCCAATCCTAACCACATTCTTATTCATCCCCTTATGACCTCCCTTACCTGGCAGCAGCCACTTACCTGCACACTGGCCTCCAATCTGCAACTGCCTGATAGCTTTCCCTTTGATTTTGCTTGCAGAAAGCTGGCAGGAAACATCAGCAGTCATGATCAAATTTACATTTCCTGGCAGTTCGACCATCGACTTGAGGAAAGTTGGCAGGAAATAATCATGGCTTGTCTGCAACTAATCATGGCAGTGTGGCAGCATTTGAAGCAGCCACAACTTTGTGAAATTTCAATCAGAGAGAGGTGATGGTTTCTAAATTTTTGACATATTCTGTGCATTAGTCCATTTGAGGTGCCTTGGCTCAAACATTTTGCCCTATGATGTGCCATTTCACCCAATTGAAGGTTACATACAGACAAGCAGGAGAGGTTTGGCGGTGTATAGATAAGATATTGTACAAAAGAATGACCTTGTTATATAGGAAGAGACATTGTTCCTGTTCTTCTGAGTTACTTAGTGTGTGAGTTGAAGCCATTGTGTTTTAATGAGGATGTGCATATCACTTCCAATTAAGGAAGAGCTTACCGACTTAGCCTAGTTTTTGCACATGGATGTTATCTCCTGCACACAAGTGAAAACATTTGTGCATTGTGTCTAGTCTTAATAGTTACACTGACCACCAGGAGCCACTGTCCTGTATTGGAATCCTTCATGTGCAGGTAGTCTGCACCCTGTTTTCTATTACTCCAACACCCTCTCTTAGAGGGGAGCATTTCTCTATTTGTACACAGTATGTATCCTGTGTAGCGTTTTATAGTTACATTGACTATTGGGAGCTACATGCCTGGTTTCATCCTACACTGGGATTCTTCAACTACGGATAGAAAGATGTATTCTATGGGGTTCAGGCCCTCTACTGGAAGTTGAAGTCATATAAAATCTTATGACATAATGTAAGAACTGTATCCCTCTGCTGTGGGAGCTTAAGCGAAGATGGACTGTATATATCATTCTGTCATTTCACTAGCTAATTCTAGCATGGTTTCCTTCTCCTTTTCTTTATAGGACCCTAAGCAGTTGTTATCTTGCATAGATTTCAGATACATTACTGATGCATTAACAGAAGAAGAAGCTTTTTGTAAGTTGTTTTAATAGGCCTAAAAATTCAAGCTGTTTTATCTTACTCTGGGAATATGCTTGAACTTTTAAATGTGTTAATTAAATACTGTAGTTATTACTGTATATATTTCATCATGTTCCTCTTTGGTCACCTTAAATATTCCAGTTCAGTAGCAGCATATGAAAGATGATACTTGCAGTCTTGATACTTTGGGGTTTGTTTGTGTATCAGACTAGGAAAAACTAAATATCTCAATCAATAATGATATAGTAACTCAGCAACCTTTACATTCTACACGTTGTGGAATGGTTTTCTGTATTATTTATGTATCACAAGTGAAATGAAGTTAAAAAAATATTGCTTTAGCAGACTTAAAACATCACTTTTTGCATGGCAACTCTGTTTCATAGGCTAAGCGCTCTTAACTTCATTGTTATGCCTGCTGTACATGGAATGTCAACCTTCAAATAACTACCATTGCAGATTGCAACAGAAGATAACTGTGGTTTTTGTAACTACTTACTGCCATCTAGCAGTCATTTGGATATTTGCAACCTAGAAATGATAGCCGTTCTCAGCACTTCAGGAAAATTCACAAGCTTTTTCATTGTGCAAGTCTATCTGTGTGCAAAATGATCTGTATCAGGTTTTTTCTCTCTCTAACAGGTCATATTTAAAAACCAAACAAAATTAATGATCTGTTTTGGGTCTGATTTTTATTTTTATTTCACTAGCGATTCTTCAGAGTGGTTTGGCAGGAAAAAAAGAACGGGGTAAGCAACAAAGTATTTATTTCCTTGTCAAATCAATAATTAATTATTGGATTATTATGTATCTTAGGATGGTCTTAGGATGTTAAAACATCAACCTGCTGGGAAAGCAATGATACTTCTTTTGCAGCGCTACTTTTTTTTGGTGAAATTTAAGGTTTTGATTTATTCTGAATTGTTTTCTGAATTATTACCATATCACATTGTGGGGAATAAGAATAATAAGAATGAAATCTGTTGCAAGAATGTCACATTTAACTGCTTGCATCATTTTATATATTTGTAGAAGAACAAATGTTAAAACATGGCTACCCAGCTTATACCACATCATGTGCCTGGTTAGGTTATCCAGACCATTGCCTAAAGCAGGTTTGTTATTTCCACATTATTCTCATTTCAGCTTTGAGATGCACAAATATGCCACAAAAAATAACTGAATTAGCACTGCGGGGGAAGTTCTGAAAGCAAGTTCTATTCTAAATGGTGACATGTAATCTTGGTTGGCTTGGATGTGTTGTAGATGGTTTACTACTGGCCTATTATTGTGCCATCTTGACACTCATCATGATGTCTTTGCAGCAGAGAGATTACATGAATTAGTTCTGGCAAAGTCAGAAGCAAATAGCCAGAAACCAAACTAATCTGTTACCATGTGGAATAATAGTCTCTCCCACTAAGAGAATCCTATAATCTACTACATTGCACTGGCAAGAAGAAAAAGCAGCAGTATTTGATCTCGCTACAGGTAGTCCCCGATTTACAACTATAGTTGGGATTGAAATTTCCATTGTTAAGTAAGATGCCATGTGACTGTTTTGTTCAACAACCGTAATCCCAACAATCCTGGTTGTGGTTGTTAAGCAATCTTGAGGGTCTTTAAGCAGATGCAATCCCAGGTAAGGTGTGCAGGGGGATTGGGGAAGAGCCTGGTAGGCTCCACTCAGGAGCTGAAAATCCCCTGCTGAAATCCAAGAAGCATTTTCAGCCCCTGAAGAAAGATTTGCATGCAATCTCCACTAGCCTTTCCAGGGTCTCCCTCCCTGCCTGAGACATTCCATGGTCCTTACCTTACCGCATTGCCTCTCCACTCTCTGTTTGGATTTTGGCTCTTGAAATCTTAAGTCTCTGATCTCCATCTCTGCATCCTGCCAGAAAGGTTGAGTTTCCATTGGCAGTCATCTCAGCCAGGCTCCAGAGACAAGGGGGAGTCCTTTTGGCAGGCAGCTGCAACTTACAACCTTCTCTGCCAGCTTCACATTGACTGGGGAAGCTTGCCAAAAAGATTGCAAATGATGGTCAGGAGTGCTTGGGCAACCGGTTGTAAGTGCAAACACATTGCCAAGTATCCAGATTGCAACGGTACATAATTCTGGACCGTTGTTAAACAAATAGTCATAAGTTGAAGACTACCTGTATGACTTGCTTTGACGCTTAGGTCTGGCTAAAATTCTTTCAAAACAGCTTCATTAGCTGTTGTATGTAGTAAGGTTAGTTATCAGAAATCTGCATTGTCGAATTCTGCCTTTGCCACTTTCAGTTCTAGCCAAGAGAAGCTTAACTAATTCTGTTTATTTGTCCCATTTGACGGCTTGCTTATGGTAGGCAGCGTTTGTGAAATCAATCATATTCCTTTTACAGTTTTATGTATGCACCCTGTTTCTGCTTGCAACAGGGGTGAAGATATCACCCTCCCAACTCTTGTGTTGTAACTGCTACTTGCACCCACATTTCTTGTTTTTTAAGCAAGAGCTCTTATCAAGACTTCTCTAATGGTTGTTCTTCAGATGACTTGGCTGAGCCACAGACCAGTCACCCCAGTCATTAGCCTTGCTGGTTGGAGTAGGTGCCATTATACGATAACTTGTTAGAAAAGGCCAAGTGACCAATGAATCTTAAAAGCCAACCTTAAAGAAGACATTAACAGACGGGTCACTTATGTAATGTTTTTCTGCGGAAACCATACAGCTTTTTATAATACTTGCTAGAGATCTGACTGATGTAATTTGCTTGGCAGCTATGCACTGAGGCTCTCAAGGATGGATGGACCAGGTACAGTAGTGTTTTTCTTGTGCATGCTTCTAAGCGCAGTAGATGACACTGAGAGAGATGATGGGCAAAATCACTCAGTGAGTTCCTTCCTGCAGCTGATTCATCCTGGGTCTTATCACTGTCAGTCCAACACCCTAAACATTACACTACATTGGCTCTCTTTCTGAATTTGACAGTGCTTTTTATAATTTTACCAGGAGTACTTTCTCAATGAACTTCAGAAATTCTGCTTTTTGAAAATGGTGTATCACAAGTAATACTTCTTTATTCCGTTCCCTTTTTTTGGCAGCAGATACGCTATTCTCTGCAAGTTTTTCCATAAATGCAACTACCCAGAGAAATAAGACTGGTCCATAGTCATTTCGTGAGCTGGTATTACTGAATGTATACTTGAGCTTAGTGCTGTCCCATAACAAGTAAAACTCACTGGCTTTTAACTATCAGAAATTGCTGGGATAGAAAGATCAAATGGATGATTGTCTTCCCATCCAAAGCAGATTATCCACACCATTGATTCTTGCAGTGACATACCCATATATCCTTGTGGATAAGCCAAGTCTCAATTTTTTAAAATCAAAATACCATGAAAAGGCCACCTGCGAATAAACCAACCTGCATTTTTCATGGTATTTTGATGAAAGATTAGGCAATTGGCTTATCCATGGATGAGTTTATATCTGATAACATGCAGGGGGAAATGAGTACTTTGGAAAACTGCATACTTGTGGATAAGTTCATTTGCAGATAAGCCAAACCCATTTTTTCGGCTTAACTGAGAACATATATACCCTATTGACAAGTATGGAAGCATTATATACATCTGTGGGTTTTGCCGTCCACACAATACCCTTTAGTTTGTGAAGAGCCTATCACAGAAAGTAAATCTGATGAGTTAGGGCTCTGGATGGCAACTCTATGCTGACTCAGCTCATTTTTTTCTAAATATTTGTAAGGAGAAAAAGATGTTAGAACTATCGCTGGCTGAGTTTGATTTACAGTTCCTGTTGAATTCCTAAAGCTAAATAGGCATCTTAAGAGTTGAGGCTCAATTCATCAACATGCTCTGGGTACCAACCTCTCTTTCTGCCAGTGTTCTCCCCCCCCCCCCCTTTATGGACACAGTGAGAGGTTTGGTGTTCTATGTTCAGATTTTATCACGTAAAACAGCACTGAGTGCATCACTTTCAGATCTTCATAAAGATTTGAGCTAGGATGTCAAGCAGCATCAAATCAATATTGGCTGACTTCAAGCTACACAGCATTGGAATCGATTCATTCTTGGAAGGAAGGCCACAAGAAAGCTCAAGGATGTAGTGCAGTGATTTTCATCCTCACTAACTTTTATATGGTTTTATTTAGTTTCCTAGTATGATTTGATTGCTTATTTAGTATCGTATGGCCATCACAAAATGTTGTATGTTATGATTCTTGATGAATGTATTTTTATGTACACTGAGACCAAATGCAGCAAAGACAAATTCCTTGTTTGTCCAATCACACTTGGCCAATAAAGAATTTATTCTGTTATGTTCTATTTAGAAAAAGCAATAGAACTTGAACCTTGATTTGAAGTTCAGAAACACTGCTGGAAGGTGTAGAGATGTTAAAGAAAAGAAACATCTAAAAAATAAATACTTCCATGGTGTTTCCATGGCCATGTAGTCATCAGAAATTAAACTCAGATTTAGCAAGAAAAGTTTTGAGGATCTTAGGATACTTCCTTTAATGTTTGTGTGAAGAATCATTTTACTAGATATATTTTACATTGCCTGGATCAGCGGCCTCCAATATTTTGGGCACCTGGGACTGGTTCCATGGGGAGAGGTTGTTCCAGATAGGAGGAACTGTGGTTTCACATGCTGCCAGCATCTTGCAGATGGCTTGCTTGGCCTACATGGATTGGGAAAGTTCAAAATGCCCAGGTTTAAAATAAACTAATCCTGATGTAATGTCAAATTCCTTGAATTTTAGAAAGTCTCCTCTTACTTGAGACAACCTTTGTGGAACTTTCCCACTCATTTTTTCCCCTGATAATATTTATAATATGGAATGATACAAGTGAATGTTTTTCTACAGTAACATTGTCATAGGTTTGTCAGTTATTGAGAAATACTGTAGTTCATATTTCATTGCAAATGTGTGATTAGGTTCAAAGTGAAAGTCGGAAAAGATCTCCAGGATGACATTCGGAGATGCAAACTTGTTAGAGAAATGATTGGTCCTGAAAATATACTGGTATGTATGTACATTTTTATGATGCCAAATAGGTTACATTTTACTGTAAAATTTGAAAAAATAGGGAAAATAACTTATTGGAAACAGATTAGTCAAGTCATTTTATTAGTGCCCTGAATTTTTTACGATTATTCCTAAAGCAGGATATAAAGGAATTTGATTTTAGTCTTGGCATGCTTGCTAAATGTAACCTTTTTTTAAAAAAATGAAATAAAAAAAGAACAGTAACCCTTTTTCAAAATAAATTTTCAGTAATGTTAGCCAGCAGATACTATGTCATTTAAGCCATTGACCATCTTAGCAGTAGGGAACTTGTCTTAAGCCTATGTCACTTTACAACTATCTTAATGTTAGAGTTACAGGAACAATCAATGGCACCAACCTGAATTTAGGCTGTATTTATTCATAGTTGTTGGATGCCAACCAAAGATGGGAGGTGGAAGAAGCCATAGACTGGGTCACTGAACTAGCTGAGTTCAAACCACTGTGGATTGAGGAACCAACTTCTCCTGATGATGTTCTGGGACATGCAACAATTGCTAAGGTAAGACAAGTTGTTTCAATTAATAGACGCTATCCACCGGAAGCCATGTTGATTTATTGGCTGGAGAGCTACATTGGAACTTCAGGATTCTAGCAAAAGTTATTAACATATGCCTGGTAAAAGATTCTTTCACATACTCAACATGTATTCAATTAAATTTAAATTATTTTCATGTTTTTTAGACTATAATAAAATCCTGAAATGTATTTTCATACATGAGCTGGTCAGCACTGCTCTTGTGAATCATGTAGTTTTAATATATTTGTATCTAACGTCCCAATTATATACAAAACAGATACTTCAAACTTCATTAGAGTACAGAGTATAAGGGGCTTATCTGTGCACCATAGTAGAAATACAGTACTATGTAAGAACTATTGATTTCATGATGGTTTAATGCACATAACTATACTCATTTGTAACTTAAGTGCATTCTTTATGGTCACATGCCTTCTGTTTATGTAATACTTATATAATCAACTAATGGATTAAAAAGTAGGTTTTTTAATAATTAAAAATTAAAAAGCAAAAATACTAGCAGTTCTATTGATGCTTTCAAATGTCTTCTAATTATATAATATGGACAAACTGCAGAAATGGCATTATGTTTAGGTAATTATGAATAATTATATTTGGACACGTGTTTTTTTTAGGCATTAGCACCATTAGGGATTGGTGTTGCAACAGGAGAACAAGTAAGTTTATTTACTAATCATTAATTATATATTTTGCATGTTGACAAGATAACTTTCGGATGCCTCACCATAGCTTTCTTTACCTACATTTGTCTTGAATTCTGTTTGGGAAATTTTGTTCTGATAGTTCTGATAAAATCAGAAAATTGTTGCTGCTTGGTGCCATTATATATTAAAGAAACAATAAGTATGGACTCAACCATGATTTTGTGAACTACCATTCAGTTAATTTAACCTTAAAATGTGGCTAGGTTTCTCAGAAATGATATAATTATCATATACTTGATCCATATTCATTCTTGACTAGTTAGATCTGTCATAAGAAGTCTGATAGATGGGGATGACTGAAATATTTCCTTGAGAGAAAGAGCTAATTCCCATGACTTCAAAGGATCCCTTTCCAGGCCTAGCTGATTTGAGCCTTTTTGTATCCTATCAGTTCTTATCAGTTGAAATTAGCTGCATTTCACAACATTCCCTTACAGGAATATTGTAATGTTGCATAATTACAATTGACTACAGTAGGGGGCAGCAGCTGACCAACCTTGGTTAATCTCAAATCCTCTGAGGAGTCTTGGGTAGGAAATTTTACAATTATAGTATGATTAGGAGGTTGGAAAGATTGCAGAAGACATTAGTAGCAAATTACAAATTTTGTGACCAAGAAAATATGGAAAAAGCTACATAGTCATTGAAAGTAAAGTTCTAGCAGAAGACACTACTTTTGCCATCATGATAATGCATTTTACGACATTTTTTAAATTACAAACATTTTCAGACATGACTACACAATGTATGTATGTGATGGCATCAGTATTTAATCTGTTTACACAGAGCAATCCCTGCTGGACTCCATGCTCAGTAGGTATGTACTCAGAATTGTATTAAATTAATGACTTAAACTTTCTTCCTTCTACCTTCTGGGTACATCTTGCAATGTTTATGTAAAATGTAGAACAAGAGGAAGCAGCAATAAAATTGTCTTTCAGCAAACTATTTTTGTTTATTTTAGGATTTATATTTAATCAAATATTTATTTGGAAATTATTTATATCACATTCAATTAAATGTTTAAATTAGATTTTACATTTTTATCCAGCTATGAGTCCTCCCCATGGTATAGGCAGATGTTAGGGTTTTTTTTAATGGTATTAAAGGAATTGCTGCAGGGTGTACGCTGTTGCAGCAAGTAAAGCTGCCTTTTGCAATTGATTGATGGTGATTTTGTTGATGCCGGTGGTGTCCAAGTAGTGTTTTGAGATTGCACCTAAGGCACTTACTACTATTGGTACTATCTTTGCTTTCTTTTTCCACAATTCTTCTGCTTCTGTTTGCAGACCTCTGTATTTTGGTATTTCCCCAGATCTTTTTCCTCTATTCTGGTCTTTCCAGGCACTGCAGCATCCATTATCCAGCAATTCTTAAGTCTTGGGTATTGTGCGGTAGATGCTTCTCTGTTTGAATTCTAAAGTCACAGAACATTTCAGCTTCTTCACTTCTGTTACTCTTGTCTATTCTTCCTTGCAGAAAAATAGATACAGATAGTTCTTGACTTAATACCGTAATAGAACCTGCACATTATAGATGTAAGTTGTAATGGTTTATAAAACAGGTCATCATGACGTAAGTTGTAACGGTTTATAAAGCAGGTTTATAAACCTAGTTTTACAACATTTTTGCAGTGGGTCATTAAACCCATGACCACAAACCAGAAGTAAATGCCAGTTTTCAGTAAAAATATTGTACATCCCAGTCACATAACTGTGGAATACTGCAAATGGCCGTAAATGTTGGCTGGTTGCCATGGGCCCAAAAAGTAGTCACATAGTGGCGTGGTGTAGCTGATGATGTTTGGAAATTTGGAACTGGGTTGTAACTACCTTGGGAGGAGTCTGTTGTAACTTTAAACAGTCGCTAAGCAACCAGCCATAAGTCAAGGACTACTTGTATTCCAATGCACTATGTCAACTTACATCTTGCTATTTTATCATGCTTATTATTATTGTAATACCCATAAATACACTTTTCTTTATACTGTTTATAAGTTTAAGAAAAAGTCTATAGGCTGTAAACAAGTTAATTTTAATGAGCTTAAAACAGGGTTAATTATAGCACAAAACGACTTTTAAATGGACTGTTTTAACTACTAGCATATCTCTATGCATTTGTATAACTAACTGGTTTAATAGTATACTACACTTTTAGAGAGTGGAAACTAGGGGTGGGCTGCTATTGGTTTGCCCAGGTTCAGGAGAACCCATAGCTAACGTTCTGGCCGGTTCAGAGAACCGCCTAATCCCACTCCTGGCTGGCCCACCCCACCCATCCCTCCTCTCCCAGGAGTCTCCATGCAGACCGTTTTGGATGCAAGGTAAGTGCAGGGACCATGTAGAGGCTCAAGGAAGGGGGAAAACAGGCATCCTGGAAGTTCCAGAAGGCTGGAAACGGGCTATTTCCGGCCTCCAGAGGGCCTCCGGAGACTTGGGGAGGCAGTTTTCGCCCTCCCAAAGGCTCGATAAAAGCCTCCAAAGCCTGGGGAAGGTGAAAACGCCCTCCTTGGCTGTGGTGCAACAGATCAACTAGGCCACGCCCACCCAGCAACTAGGCAGAAAACTCGTTGCTGAAATTTTTGAAGCCCACCTGCTGGAAACTGTCACTTTCTATCCTATCCAGAGTCCAAATATTTGAGAAATATGCAGTGTACGTTTTTGTAACATAAAGGCACAAATATCCAGAATGAAATACTCTAAGTGACTTGGATTTATCAGACATTTTTATAAGCATTTTCTAATCATGCAGTGTTTTGAATTAAGAGAATGTGTGTGTTTTCATTATCTGCAGTGCCATAACAGAGTGATGTTCAAGCAGTTCCTACAGGCTCAGAGTCTGAGTTACCTCCAGGTGGACAGTTGTAGGCTTGGAAGTGTCAATGAAAACTTGTCTGTATTGCTGATGGCCAAGAAGTTTCAAAGTAAGACTCCTGGAAATGCTGTAACACAGCATTAACACAGAGAGAACAGAGAAATGTTAAAAAACAGAGTGAAACACAAGAAGTAACACATTTTATAATTCTTTGTAGCTGATATAGTTATTTTGAAAGTTTGGCTTCACCCAGAGGTGTGAACTATGTATCAAAACAAATTACATATTTCTGTAACAGTAATGAACAACATGTGGCTTTCCAGAGGCTGAACTCCAATCTAGATAGTGTAAGAGATGACAAATGAAAACTTCATCCCATTTATGGAGGGCCAGTTGGAAAGGATTATCTAGTCTGGGCAGGGATTTTGAAGGAAAAACTATCAATAAATTTTACATCTCTCCTCCCCCCCCTCCCCAGTTCCAGTATGTCCTCATGCAGGAGGGGTCGGACTTTGTGAGTTGGTCCAGCACTTAATAATATTTGACTACATTTCAGTGTCTGGCAGCCTTGAAAAGAGGTAAGAGATTTTGTTGCTTCTTGTCATGTTAATATTAGAATAACAGTTGGAAGGGGCCTTGGAGGGCTTCTAGTCCAACCCCCTGCTTAGGCAGGAAAACCTACACCACTTCAGACAAATGGTCATCCAACAACTTTAAAAATTCCAGTGTTGGAGCCTTCACAACTTCTGGAGCCAAACTGTTCCACTGATTAATTGTTCTGTCAGGAAATTTCTCCTCAGTTCTAAACTGCTTCTCTCCTTGATTAGTTTCCCTCATTGCTTCTTGTTCTTCCCTCAGGGGCTTTG